TCCTTTCTTGTGTGAATCTATGCAGGAACAAAGCTCACCATCAGGTACTGTGAATAAAGAATGAGACTTATGTAAAACCATTTTGAAAAACTTGTAATGTTTCTATTGATATTGGAGCTATCACACTGTATTATTATACATAAAGCATTATTATCTATTGTTCATCCCAGTGGGAATGCTCAGACTCTTTTAGTCAAATAGACAATTATATTGAATTGATTCTTTATGCACTTCACATAGTTAAAGCTTAAGGCTGAAAACACTGCAGGAGGAGAAGGTAGGACTAGGGGAAGAAAAAACTGTATCTCTGGTTAAGGGTCAGCTGTTGTCACTTCCAAAAGAAATAGCCGACTAAATTTAAGAGCAAAATGAAACCAAAAATGATTCATCAAAAATTAAAATAGTAATTTGACCTTTTTTCTCAATAGGTATTATTATTCAGCACTAGGATTCTCATTTTCCTGAAACAGTAGCAATTTCATGTGTAAAAAAAAAAAGTCATTGGGAAGTTGCCATGAATAGCTTGCAGTGCTTTATTTGCACAGCGTACTATCATATCATATTGAACCCTGACGCAATAACTCAAGTGTTAATGTAGTCCAAATACAACGTACCCAGAAGAACTCAATCAACCGCAGAGCATTATGAAAAGTCTATATTTGTAATAAAGTGAGTGTGGAACAATAGCGGTGCTCATGCAGAGTAAAGACAGGATAATCCTATATACAGTGGCATCTGTCCATCTTGGCTCGAGTGGATTTGTGTGCGGGGCCAGAGGGGACGGATCAAACATGAGAAACACAAATTAAGACGATTCAAAAGCAGCGGCGCTCTGAAAACACAGACACACACAAACCTCTCACTCATGAACTCGTGTGCTGTCCTGGTGCTTTTGTATTAGCATCCTGGGTAAACAACTCGGCTAATTTAGGTCATTTAATTGGAAGAGGGAAACAAAACTGACCCTGAAATCAAATAAATTATCCAGATAGTGCTGGCGACTTCAGCACTATTAATTTTATGCGTTGGCACAAGCTGCATGTGGGAGACTAGGGGAAAATAGCAAAGCTTTTTAATATAAGAATTGGCACACTCATGAAAACTTGTTCCTGTTTTATTAACTTTAAGACTGAAGCAGCTATTCAAACAGTGACACCCCTCAGGAGAGTCAGGGGAACTCCGTCACGGTAAACTTTAATGGCATTTCACAGGTTTATTTTATAACAAGTGATTTTTAGGCTTTTTTAGTATTAGCTAAAAATGCACAACAGGCAACATTTCAGTAAGTTACAGTCGTGACAGAGCCAATCTCAAGATCTAAAGATATTGATACTTTGCAGGTGGTGTCATCAACATACTGTAAGCACTACTCTGTCTGAGGTTTTGTCAGTCTTTCATCTGAGCTTTATTTCAATACAGTCTGACCAGAAAGAATAGATTTAACTGGAACTACAACACATGAGCTGATTTGTGCTGTTAAACAAGTCCCTCGCAAACACCATTACACCCATTTTGTTCAGACGATTTTAATACTTTTTGGCAGTATTTACGGTTTGTTAATGTGTGCATTGTGTCACCATGGCAACTGATGAACATTCTGACATTCACATACATGTAGAACACTCCAACATGATGTCAATGCAAAGTATCAATAGGCAGCTACCCACTATTATTGACAAGCTGCCCCAGTGGAACTGAAGAACGGATCAACTGCAAAGGATAAATCTACCCACAGATCAGAATACCTTTAACTTAACTTAATACTTCAAAGCAGCTCATGTGCTGAATGTTATACAATAGTGCTGCAGATGAAGTGCAGTTAATTAAATAGATAAAATTTGGTTCTTACTCATGTCATAGGAATGTTTGGGAAAATATCAATAAGAAGAAGATGAGATGGTCCTGCTGCTGCTGTGGGGAGATATGGCAGAGGAACAGTAAACAGATAACAAGTAAAAGGTCTATTACAAATGTGCGTGTCACTCTGTTGTCTTGTTGGCTGTTTAATGTCTTGTGATGTCCAGTAGTGTGTGTGGTGGTGTCTAATGTAATGTTTAAAGTGCCCATATCACATTATTTTCTGATCTACAGTATGTTACAATGTTGTTTCCTCATTAAAACAGACCTGGAGTTGTGATTTGTTTCATTCACACATGTTTAACACACAAATCCTGCGTATTTAGGCTGAGTTCTTCTCTCAAACAGAAAGTACTCCACCTTGAGATGTCCTGGTAATACAGGAAGTGCTCCACTGTGTTTTTAAACTCCATTTTGATCATTTTGGCCCAGGAATTGTCCATCTCTACAACTCTAGGTTTGGGTTTGATGAGGAAACAACTTTCTAACATGGCTTGAAGCAGACAAGAAACAATTTTGTGTAATACAGGACCTTCAGAGTTGTGCCTGCCTTAAGACAACAGATGAAATTTAGCTGTTGTGCCAACTCATGTTTATGTTGAAGCTACTTGCAGACACACTCATTAGTATGCACTGTCCTAATTCAAATAAATAAATAAATGAAATGAAATAACAAAGCTCTGTTCTAGTTGTGTGTTGGAGTCAATGAGCCTTTAGTCAAATGCAAATTCTGTATGATTACTTTAGCATTTTTTACAGTCAGTGATCTGTCAGAACTTCCCAACTTTGTCGTAAAGTGCACTGCAGTACTTTGTTTGTGTCTAGACTGGCTCCTGCAAAGACAAACCTATTAAATGGCTCATAAACTCAGATGCAGATTAATGTATTGTAACATGAAGACTTTTATTGCAAATAATAGTGATTTGATAAAAGGGACTTGTTAATACCATTATTAAAAGAACCAACATCCATTACATTTCATGGAGTACTCTCACAGCCGTGACTGCTCAGATGAACAGTCTCGGCATTTACGACAGTGCCACAACAACCATCATGAGTTGGAATAGCATATTTTAGATTCTCACCAATTTCAGTCATAAAAAAACAGAAAAGAACTGACTCTTAGTGGTCTTTAAGAGGTATGTTTTTAGACCAGGTCCAACTGAAAGGCAAAACTGCAAAACAAAACTTGTGTCCACTCTTAAGATTAAGTATGAGCACTTGTAAAATGGCCACCTCAAAAACACAGGTTAACTTGGACATGCAGCACAACCATACTCTGCACATCGTCAAACACTCAGTGTGTAAAAACTAGGACTAGACTGGCTCCTCTATTTTCTCCAAATATACACACATTGATTCAGCTCTATAATACTGTAATATTGGTTCACACCCTCGCAGATTCAAAAAGTAAGAACAAACCCAATTACAGAAAGGTTAGGACACTGTGGCCACTGGAAGTTCAACAGAAGTGACAGATCTAAAGGCAGGAGGAAGGCAAATAAGATTGATAATGTAATGGTCACTTCTGGGATAATCTAAATAAGACCATGGCTGGATTAACCTTTTGTGAATATACAAGGACACACCCCATGCACATACACATGAGAAAGCTTCATATCATTCCAATCAACCTCAAGGAAACTCAGACAGAGAACCTTGTGGCTACAGGGCAGTGCTAACCATATAGTACAGGTATTTCAAGCCCAAAATCACTTCTCAAACCTGTTTTGTTCATGCCCAGATGTGTATGTACCAGTTACTTTCATTAAATGGTATCTTTTTGTATACTTTAATAACAAAATTACCACATGACAAGTCTAATCAACTCAATATTAATTTGTTTCTATAATAGTGTCCTAAACTTTATGAAACTGGGGTTGCATATAGATTGTAAATATTATTTTTTCTTCTACTCTGACAAAAGAAAAAAAAAAGTCAGTACAGTTATGGCATCTAAAAAGAACTCGACAACATTGTAACCTATGCCACTTTGTGATTCATTCAAATAATATCACATATCCAGTTTTACATCTGTCATTATACATTGTTTTCATAAAGTAAGATAATAAATATACTTTTGAACATTTTTCATTGTAGCTTAACATTGAAACAAGATCGTACGGTGCAGTTGTTTCATAATTTGTCAAAACAAGCTGATTATAACAAGTACAAACGATAAAATAAAAGATACCGCAGATTTAAAAAGAAAACACCACAACAAGATTTCAGAACAGTGTTTTTGTGCTTTAAGTCTTTAACTGCGATGGCTATTTTGTATAGGTTTGCAGTTAGTAGTCAAAATACAGGACTTCATTTGAATTGTAAAAACTGGGGGAAATACCATAATGCTAACACAATGGAGACTACTTAAAAGACGTACTGCATTTATCAGATACAACGTTCTTGGTTAGTTAGTTTGTGAATATATCGCCTAATCTGAACACTAATGGATGACGCCCACTCAGCCATTGGAAATGTGGCAAAAAATGACTTATTCGTGGTTTCAAAACGTGTCAATTTTGATGTTTATGGTTCTTTAAGGCATTACAGTACAGTACCGTATATTGTATTACACCATGGGTTGAAAGATACTGAAAGATGAGTAATATGCCATGTTGAGAAACCCTTTTGGAATACTTTGAAATGGCCAGGGTTAGTTTTATTTGTGTAAAGACTTTTATTTTGAAGAAGCACTGTGGAAGAAATGGACCATGTAATTTTTTAAACACTTACTTTCTTATACTTATAGTGCAAACAATCTGTGTCTTATTATTACATTGATAAAGATATGAAATAACATGGCATATAGACTTTTAATATCTTTAAATGGTACCATAAGCTGCTCTGGGATAATTAAATTAACCGAACAGAAATGCAGTGCTACTAAACCCATTGTTAACAAAGTATCATGCCAAACACAGGTGCCAAAAACCCAGATAGCAATGGGTTGTTGGCCAAAAGATATTAACAGGTAGCATCCAAAAAAATAAAAACATAAATTACAAGGTGTTCAGATTCCCACTGCTTCAAACAGCTGCATTTTTTCATAAAAGGAATGAACTTTGCCACTTAATGGTAACATTCAAGTCCCAAAGTATGGAGAATATAGTATATTTATAAATGTAAACATGTTCCTCCCTTTATACTGTACAGAATCATGAGTTAATGTTGTTTGAATGAGAAAAGCTGGTCCCACTTGACAAACAAAGCCTACACTATAGTAAAATATAAAGATACAATACATTATACTTTGCTACTTCGACGGCTGCCTGATCAAAGCTGTTCGGCAGGTAGAGTAACTCATAAGGACCCATTTTGTAGAATACGACAACTTCAACACTGCATCCATCTATATAAGACAACACAGGTCCCCCGAAATCCCCCGCCACATTTTGTTCTTTTCATTTTTTTGTGTTTTTTTTTGTAATACAATTTTAAGCACACCTCATAATCAAAATCGGTATTGTTAGGAATCTATAAGTCTTTGTTCCACAAGCCATAATACATTCAATACAACATTGGTAGGGTAAATTCTGTAATGCAAAAATGTAATGTTAAATTTAGCACCTCTGTGTGAAAGAGGTCTGTGATCTTGCAAGTTCATATGACACGTAGATGGGATGGAGGTGAAAACTCATTCTAGAAAAACTTAAGACGATAAAAAATAAAACATCATCATATAGTATTTACATGACATAAAATTCACAAAAGAAAATAATAACAGTGATTATTTCCCCATCAGGTTGTTTTCAACATACAAGATTAGACTCCAGCCATCAGCAAATGTCAGAAAAGCTTGATAAATGCTCTGGACAGTCATTGTTGTGTGTTTGGGTCCCGTTAGTAGACGCTGATGAAGGACGACAGGGCCAGGACCAGGTACCGACAGGCCAGTGGGGCGTCTGAGCTTCCAGTGCTCCCATAGGGGGCAGTGTGAGGTGCTGCGGACGACAAAACAAGAGAGTCGTGATTAGTTTTGATTGCACTTTCAGCTCCGACCACACCCACCCTTTGAAAAGCAGCATTCAAAATCTAGTATAGGCTTAAAATGAGAGGCAAGCACAGGAAGTACCACTGATGATTGGACCTGAAGGAGAAAAATACTTCAGTCAAACACTAAAACACAAAATGGTCCACATCACTGTAGAGGCAGAAAGTAACCAGTTGCTTTTGGCAAATTGTTTTTAAAAGAAAAAAACTTGCTCCCTGGAAGCATTTTGGACATAAAATATACCATAATTTAACAAATCATTAACACTGGTTTATCTTTTTTATGTATATAGTGCTAGCACTGGCAGCAGTAACATATATTTTTTAAAACCAAATGAATATCTTTTTATAATACACTTAATTTACTTTGCAGTTTGTATGAACATAACTTTTAGTTTTCCCTACATCTTATCTTATGTAAAAGTAACATGTGGCCAATGGTAGCATACACTGTGTGCAACGCTCTTTTGTGGAATGTTCTTTCAACACATGACCCCTTCACATGCACACGCCCAGTGTAATGGCATAAAATGTATAATTTTGATTTATTTAAAGATCAAATTATTACCACAATTATGGAACAACAATCTGCCACACTGGACTCTGTAAATCACTGGACTTGAGAAGGCCGTATGAAACTAGAAACTCTACAGATGTTGTTTCTGTGTGATGTTTATGAAGTGTCTGCAGTGGTCAGAACAAGCAGAGGCATAGAGAAGGTCACCTGAGACCTTCAGAGGTCCAAAAGAGTCTGAATCACCTATCCATACACTATAAACGGCACTGCAGGGAAAATTCTTTTACTGTATTACTATTTTGTGTTGGTATCTAACTGAACTAAAAACTGAACAACAGGTCTTTTGTCTTGTTGTTGGACATACAATGGCTATATAATGATAAAATGGGTAGAACATAGCTTTACTGTAGACCAAAATTGTCTCTTCACATCACCTCTGTAGTCGTAACTACCCTGAGACTGATCAAGATGAAGCAACAACCCCACTAACAATAACCAACTACAGTCACACTAACACAGCGCTGAGTGAAATAATATAATGTTTCAGTAGCATTATATTTATCCACAAGCCTACGAGTTAGTGTTTGAGCATCCACTGCCACTGAAGCGAAATAAACACAGACATATGGCCAATTTCATAAGGTCAAGGCAATAATAATAATCTCTATTGCACCACTCAAATAACACAGCTCAAAAACCTCAAAATGACAATTCCTTTATATAGTTGTGTCTTATTTCCCTTTTGTCCCTTCCGAACTGGAGCCAAAAGCCATCCACACCAACAGAGGGATGTTTGAGGTCACCATCTCACGGCTTTATTCGAAGGCAGGCAGTTTTGTTTAGTGCTGTTTGTGTTACCGTGTCCAGCCGACAGCCACTGTAATATGAGCGCGGCCCCTCTGGAGAGCTGCGTCAGGCGGACACATGGGCCAGAGCCTTTCATTTGGTAGAACAGTTCCTACCTCCTTCAACTGCGAGACACAACGCTTTTTAGGCTTGTGGCTCAATAAAGCACACCTTACAGGTTACTGCACACACAAGTATACAGCAGCTTCATGTACAGGTCAAACACACTCAGAGCAAGGCAAGGCAGAGTAAACAGGTCCGTGTACCAGGGGAAATCATGCAGTGCACAGTCCATATCAGCGGGGTGCCTGCTATTTACACGGCCATGTAATTAGCTCACATTGTAGCTCCTCTGATGCGGACCTCGTCTCACACAAGCGGGCAATAGGGCTGAAGACATTGCATTTGGAGGAAAAGGTCACTTCTATGGTCTGGGAAGATGATGGCTATTCCTTAGTGTCTGAGTATTGTTAGAATTTCAATATACATTACAATGATCCAGCATGCATGGACAGGTCAAGTGAACAGCGTCTTGTGTGTTCAGTTTGTATGGTTTAAAATGACTCCACAGTATTTCTCGATTTGAGCTTCAGCATGGAGGAAGAAAAAGCTAACTCCAGTTTCTAATATCTCTCAAACTGGGCTGTCTACTTGACAGTCAGTCTGTTCAGATTTTATCAATAAACAATGTGTGTTATGTTTCCATTATTGGTAACTATAAAAAGTTTGGGTCTGAGTACTGACCCTTGTGGCACAACATAATTAATTAAAAAGAATAGTATAAAAATTGCTATGCTACAATTGTTTCAGTTCATTTCTTGTTATGATCATTTGGGATAATAATTTTGTTATGTACAGGTGATCATAATATTTTGCCTGATCAGAGTACTGTATTTTTCGGTCTATAAGTCGCACTTTTTTCATGGTATACTCCAGTGCGACTTTTTTTCACACTGACAGCCGTGAGAGGGTGCTCTAGGCTTGTGTGTCAGTATCTGCTGTTCTTATTACTCTTGTACCACTGTCACTTGACTCTACTGCGCATGTCTACTGCAGAAAAAGACGCTGTCCTGCTGCAAGTAGTGAAATATGCAGCTGAAAATGGTAATCGAGCAGCAGAAAGAAAGTTTGGAGTGAGCGAGAAACTTGTGAGGGACAGGCAGAAAGCGGGGATGGAGAACACAGCCTCACGGTAACTGGGCAGGTGCGCCGTGCAACTTTCTTGGAAGTCACTGGATGGATTGACAAAGCCTTGACTTCAGTGACAGCCGAAACCATCCTGTCGGGATTCAGAAAGGCCAGAATAATTCTAAGTGGAACTGATGCTGAGTCTGACGACAGCTACAGAGAAGAGCAAGCGGCGCTCTGTTTACCTGTGGAGGTCACGGAGTCGGTCAGAAGTGACACCGAGGATGAAGAATTCAATGGATTTAGTGATCTGGAGTGAGATGAGAGTTTGGTAAATGTGTTATGTCGTTTATGCTATAGTTATCTGAATAACTGTTCATATATGACGTTAACAGCCTGTTGTTCTCTATTCTGTTTTTATTACTATAACTTGGCTTTCACGATGAAATGTCGGTTCCTGGTCTCTAATTTCATAAAATAAATTTCCCCCAAAGTGCGACTTATAGTCCAGTGCAGCTTATATATGTTTTTTTCTTCTTCATTATGCATTTTTGGCTGGTGCGACTTATAGTCCGGAGCAACTTATAGTTTAAAAAATATGGTAGTTGAAAACAAGTGTACATATGTTCAAGAAGATTTTCATCTGCTGGTATTGTGGCATATACAAATTGTCATGTTAAAATACATGCAATAATTCGTATTTTTTTCTCGAGTCTATAACAGCTGGTTGTTGACAATTTCCCTCACAAGATGCCAGCATATACGAAAATAAGAAAGTCGTTCAACCCATTATAAGTGACAGCACAGCTTTTACCTAGCATTTCGCTGCTATTTGAGTTGTTTACCTATTAGAGTGAAAACTATACTGACAGATGAGAGGAGCGGGGTGAGCTACAGTACAGACCAGCACAAATAAGGGGTAAATTTTGATGATGGCGGAGATGGGAGAACACCCCCACACCCAACCCCTCCCCTTTGGCTCCCATCTCTCTTCTACATTATTGTCTCTCTCGCTTCTATCCAGCATACAGGATAATGACACAGTTTTTGTGGGCTGTGCAAGCGAACTGAGAAGCAGTAACCATGGCAACAGCTCCTGTCCTGTGCTCAGCTGGCCCACTGTTGCCGGAGCGTGCGTTCAATGCATGGTGCTGCTAACCCCTGTAGCATCATCCAGGGTAGGATTTCCAGTTAGTGGGGAATAGGCAGATGTCAACCAGCGCCTATTTCCCATTAGAGGAGTTTTTGTCACACAGTGGAGAGATACCCTGGGTAGAATTGCAGTTGAGTTGATGGAATGGGTGATTATGGAACCAGCTTCTTACTCTTATTTTAAGATAAGGAAGATACACAATAGTGGAGAGTGTGAATACTGGCTCAATAGCATGGAGTGGTAGAGTAGTGACATTTTCAAAGGGCTTTAGACTCTTGTATTGATAACAGATACTCAAAATGTCTGTGAAGTTCGGGTCTAAACATGGTAGGAAGTCTCCACACTCTTTGGATCGCTTTATTGTGACAAAAACATGTAATCTACCATCCCTTTTGTTTGTTCTGTGACAATTTTTAAGAGTTTTGTGGCATAAATACAGTAGCTAATTAGAAGGAACAGCTAGACTCCACAACGCACACTTCGTTATACTTAATAAGACTAACTTTTATTGACCCACAAGGGAAATTTTTTGGATGCAGTAGTTCACACATCACCATAGACTATAATAACAAAGATAAACAATATAATACATTCAAAATAAGAGCAAAAATAGGAAGAAGTCTGTTAAGTCTAGCTAGCCGGGCAAATAAAAGTGAACTAATTGTGCTTCAACCCAACATACACACTGGAACTACAATATGAACAATAAAGGCCATGTCACTAACAACTTTCCTAACATACCCCATTTTCTTATGTAACCATGTATTAGCTAAATCTATTGTTTTATTTCATTGCAGGAAGCTTCTGTTCAACTGCACAAAATCACCAAAACTCACTTCTTTTCTTCCTTTAACACATGTCTGTTTTAGAAGAGGGCCTCTGTTGTTTTGATTGTGTGGGATGTGACTTGCCATTTTAATTAACTCCCCAGTCAGGAATGGCCCGCTACCCCATTACGCTGCTTATTAACATGAAGGCAATGGAAAGGGTGCGAAAGAGAGAGGGAAGAAAGCCAGATATGGGGGATCAAAGTAATGGAGAGCAGGCTGCAAGAAGGAGACAGTGATTGAAAGCGTTGCAAAAATGGTGGAAGCAACAGAAGCACCAGCTATACTTTGTCTTTGGAGGTTGAATTTAATTGCCATGTACATCAGCGCACGACTACAATGAGGAATTCCGGACAATATATCATAGAGGAACATTGTCAAGCTGCTACCAAGACAAGTGAGGCTCTAAAGGGAGAGGAGGGGAAGAGATAAGCACAGATGAAATGCACAGACACAATTAAAATGCAAGCGGGCTAAACC